CTTTGGCAATCCCACCTGCCACTGAACCCAATTTGTTTTGACTAAGCATAATTTGGGCTTTAGGCGCAATCACCGGAACAACCCCAACCTAAGTTGAGAGTCACTTGTATTTGCTCCATTAAAATACAGACTCAGAACACGTCCTGTAGTAATAAAGGTTCTAGCAGAATCACAGCCCACTCTTTTAAGTCTGGGACAAGTGTGAGACATGACTTCCAGATCTTATAGTCTACTTTCCAGAAAGGCTTAAAAACCCAGCCCAACATCAAAAGCACTGCATGTGATGCAGGCGAATATGTTATCCTGAAATACTGACATTGAGGAATTCACAAGAGCCCCCTTGTTCTCTTGCTTGCTGCTTCTTCTTCTCACTACCACCCTACTGATTCATTCTCATTTGGCCACCCTGCTAGTTCACCTGAAGGGTAAAGTCAGGCAAATGAATGCGGTGCCCCTGAAAAATGCAGACCCCCAATTCCCATCAGGACCACCCAGCACGACCAAAAATCAAAGTCAATGGGAGTTGCAGTATGGTGACATCTAGGGAACACCACCTCCTTCATGGATCACTGCCTTGCTATGGCGAAGGGGCTTGAAAAACTCAGAGAAGCTATGAGCTATGCTGTGCAGGGCCACCCAAGATGGACTGGTCATAGTGGAGAGTTTTGACCAAACGTGATCCACCTGGAGCAGGAACCGGCAAGCCACTCCAGTATCCCTGCCAAGAAAACTCCATGGACAAAGACAGTTTTTGAATTATGGTGCTGGAGGAGACTCTTGAGAGTCCCATGGACTGCAAGAAGATCCAACCTCTCCATTCTGAAGGAAATCAGCCCTGAGTGCTCACTGGGAGGACAGATCGTGAAGCTGAGGTTCCAATACTTTGGCCACCTCACGAGTAGAGAAGACTCCCTGCAAAAGACCCTGATGTTGGGAAAGATTGAGGGCACAAGGAGAAGGGGATGACAGAGGATGAAATGGTTGGACAGTGTTCTCAAAGCTACCAACATGAGTTTGACCAAGCTGCGGGAGGCAGTGGAAGACAGGAGTGCCTGGTGTGCTCTGGTCCAGGGGGTCACGAAGAGTCGGACACGATTAAATGACTAAACAACAACAACAGGGAACACCACATAGCTTATCCATGGGCTATGGGAACCCAGGTGATTCTGTCGTATTTTAAACCCATGTGATTTTGTTTGCTAGCATCCATGCCATCACTATACCATTTCATTTCTCCCCAATGATGTGGGTTGTTGCAGCCAAAATGTTTAGAGGGCAGTGAGGGCAAACGAGGGCATGAGCAGTGAGGGCGAAAATGTTATGGAAGCCTCCTAGAGAACAACAGCAAAGCATTGCAAATTTTTTCAAACAAATACCCCAAAATGGTTCATGAAAAGGACCCCCAAACAAAATAAGTAGTTTGTGCTTTGTCCAATGCAGCATTCTCACTTTCTGCAGATCGACTGACTGACTCAAGTCTTCCGATGTTCCTCACAGAGGAGATGCATGAATCGGATAAATGCCGGCAAACCTCTTTGAAGATGAAAGCTACCATTCAGAAGCTCAGTTTCATTTATTAATAAAGAGGCAATCACCCTTGGTAAGAAATGACCATTGAGATGACACCAATTGTCTTCACTTCAAAGGAGACCCCTTCTTATTTGCATGTCTTTGTAATCTCACTTAAATGGACCCCCCCTCTCCCTTTGTGACGATCAAGAGAAATATTTGCCAGGTATGACATTATCTTAAGCAGGAGATCAAGGCACTTCCTCTCTCTCTCTCTCTCTCTGGAAATATTTCTTCAAGAGTTTTGACAGAGATAGCGCAGCCTGATAATTTGGCCTTCAAGAAGAAACCCTCCATATTAGTGCTGTACATACTAATGTTAAGGTTTTTTTAAAAAAAAGGAAGGAAGGAAAATGAAAGAGAAGTCAACAGATGATATTTCTGAAGGGAAGAATATAGACTGATTAGAGCAATGTGCTGCAAACTTGGGAATTAGCTACTGGAAAATTATCCAGTAAAAAGAAACCCATTGAAATGATTGGGAGCTACCTGAAGATTCCAGGGATTGAACTTGTGACTTTCTGCCTGGGCCAATACTGCATGAAGTAAGGACATATCAGAACAAGGAGTGAGGCTAAGGTTATGGAACAACCTTCCTGACAATGTCCAAAGTTATCAGAACATAAGGAGAGTCTTGCTGGACCAGGCCAATGGCCCATCTAATCCACCACCCTGTTTTCACAGTGGCCAACAAGATGCCCATGGGAATTCCTGAAGCTGGACCCAAGCACAAAAACCCTCTCCACTCCTGGGGCTTCCAGGAACTGGTATTCACCTTTGAAGGTGACCCAGAAACTACAATGAACCCAGAATGCAGCAGCTAGACTGTTGACTGTGAGTGGCTGCTGAGGCTATATAACACCGGACCTAAAAGAGTTTCATTGGCTCCTAGTACATTTCCGAGCACAATCCAAAGTGTTGGTGCTGAACTTTAAAGCCCTAAATGGCCTCGGCCCAGTATACCTAAAGGAGCATCTCCACCCCCATCATTCTGCCCGGACACTGAAGTCCACTTACGGGAGTCTTCTGGCGGTTCCCTCCATGCGAGAAGTCAGATTACAGGGAACCAGGCAGAGGGCCTTCTCGGTGGTGGCACCCGCCCTGTGGAACGCCCTCCCACCAGATGTCAAGGAGAACAACAACTACCAGACTTTTAGAAGACATCTGAAGGCAGTCCTGTTTGGGGAAGCTTTTAATGTTTGTTGTATTTATCGTGTTTTTAATATTCTATTGGGAGCCACCTAGATTGGCTGGGGAAACCCAGCCAGATGGGCGGGGTATAAGTAAATAAATGGTGATGATGATGATGATTACCCCCAACTATGAAGGGACAGCAGAGCCATCATGGAAGGCAGACAATGATGATCCTCTCCTCCATGAATGCATCTACAGTGGTGCCCCGCAAGACGAATGCCTCGCAAGACGAAAAACTCGCTAGACAAAAGGGTTCTGCGTTTTTTGAGTGGTTCCGCAAGATGAATTTCCCTATGGGCTTGCTTCGCAAGACGAAATGTCTTGCGAGTTCTTGCGAGTTTGTTTCCTTTTTTTTAAAGCCGCTAAGCCGTTAATAGCCGCTAAGCCGTTAATAGCCGCTAAACCGCTAAGCCGCTAATAGCCGCTAAGCCGCTAAGCCGCTAATAGCCGTGCTTCGCAAGACGAAAAAACCGCAAGACGAAGAGACTCGCGGAACGGATTAATTTCGTCTTGCGAGGCACCACTGTAACCCTCTTTTAAAGCTATCCAAATTGGTGGCCTCCTATGCTGTTTTGAGATATTGCTTTTTTGAGTGGATGCAAAATATCTCTCTATTAAAAATAGTGTATGGCTACCTTATACCAAACCAGACCATTGGTCTGTGAAGCTCAGCAGGGTTTGCAGAGACAGGCAGCTGCTCTCCAGGGACACAGTGGTGCTGTGGTCGAAACCACGAGTCTCTTGGGCTTGCTGATCGGAAGGTCGGAGTTCAAATCTGCACAACGGAGTGAGCTCCCATTGCTCTGTCCCAGCTCCTGCCAACCTGGCAATTCAAAAGCATACCAGTGCGAGTAGATAAATAGGTACCGCTGCGGCAGGAAGATAAATGGTGTTTCTGTGCACTCTGCCTTCCGTCCCGGTGTTCTGTTGCAAACTGTTTAGTCCTGCTGGCCACATGACCCGGAAAACTGTCTGTGGACAAATGCCAGCTCCCTCAGCCTGAAAGCGGAGGTGAGCACTGTACCCCATAGTCGCCTTTGAGTGAACTTAACCATCCAGGGATCCTTTACCTTTTACCTCTCCAAGATTTCAGGTGGGGTATCTCCAAGTCCTATCTATACAGTGGTACCTCGGTTTAAGTACTTAATTCGTTCTGGAGGTCTGTTCTTAACCTGAAACTGTTCTTAACCTGAAGCACCACTTTAGCTAATGGGGCCTCCTGCTGCCGCCACGCCGCCGGTGCACAATTTCTGTTCTCATCCTGAAGCAAAGTTCTTAACCCGAGGTACTATTTCTGGGTTAGCGGAGTCTGTAACCTGAAACGTATTTAACCTGAAGCGTATGTAACCCGAGGTACCACTGTACATGCCAGGGACAGAACCTCCTGAGAACTTCTGCCATTGAAAAACAGCCCTCTACCATAATGTGAATATTTCAGAGTATTACTACTCTGCTCTTCTCAGCTTTATTTCAACTCCAGAGCTACAATCCCCAGAGTGGTTTAGCAATCAATCCCTCTTCCCAGGGAACTCTGGGAAATGTCACTTTGCAGGGGAACGGGGGGTCTCCTAACAATTCTCAGCACCCTTAATAAATGACACCTCCCAGCATTCCTTGGGGGAAAACCACCATTATTTTAAATGGTATCATAGTGTGTGAAGCGCGTGGTGTGAATACAACATCTGTTATTGCCATTATTTTATAGTTTGCTTTTTGGAATCTGTCTCAAACTTTGGAGAGGTAAGGCACAAACATTTTAATGAATTAAACTGGGAACTGCGGCTTATCAGCCAGGATGGCTCTCTCTGTAGCAACTCACGTTTAGCAACATCTCTTTTAGGTCCTGGAAGGTGAAGGTCAATCCCCACCCCACCCCTGATTTTGCAAATTTCGTCTTAATGGACAGTACTTTTGCTTTGGAAACATCTGCAAAGGGATAAAAAATCCGTAGCGCCTTGGTTGAAGCTTGACTATAACAAAGGCAATGTCAGCAGATCGTCTTGCAGAGATGCAGGTCAGCAGTAAAAACTGGCAACCTCTGTCTCAAAGTGGTAGAGTTGGCAGGACTGGCCGAGGCTGAACAGCAGAGGTCTGTGGCTCGGGAAATGGCATGTACACCAAATGCACCACCCAGTGGGTACCAGTAACAGCTCTCTTTCACCAGCTGTATCTCTGCTGCTGCCAAGCAACTCCTTCTGGTATTGGCAGATGCCCCCAACTTCCTTCCTCATTTGCGGAGCCAGTGTGGTGCAGTTGTTAAGAGTGCTTGGCTGTGACCTGGGAGACCAGGGTTCGAATCCCCACTTGGCCATGAGGCTCACTGGATGACCTTGGGCTGGCCACTGCCCCTTAGCCTCACAGGGTTGTTGCAGGTATTAAATGAGGAGGGGTGGAAACCAATCTGCCACCCTAATCTGTTTGGGAGGGGAGATAGGACATCAATACAATAAAATATAATTTGCTGCTCAGTAGCAAGTCTATTTATATGGACGCGGGTGGCTCTCTGGGTTAAACCACAGAGCCTAGGACTTGCCGATCAGAAGGTCGGTGGTTCGAATCCCTGCGACGGGGTGAGCTCCCGTTGCTCGGTCCCTGCTCCTGCCAACCTAGCAGTTCGAAAGCACGTCCAAGTGCAAGTAGATAAATAGATACTGCTCCGAGGGGAAGGTAAACGGCGTTTCCGTGCGCTGCTCTGGTTCACCAGAAGTGGATTAGTCATGCTGGCCACATGACCCAGAAGCTGTACGCTGGCTCCCTTGGCCAATAAAGCGAGATAAGCACCGCAACCCCAGAGTCAGCCACAAGTGGACCTAATGGTCAGGGGTCCCTTTACTAGCAAGTCTATTGCTTCACATAGTCCCCTGCATCACCACCTACTATATCTGGTGGGGTAGTGGAGCAGGGATGGACAGGAACTAAGCACTGCCTCTTCCTTCAGAGCAGGGAGTCCTGGTCCAAAGGAGCTGAGGAAGGTCTTTCTTGACAATGGGGGGATGTAGAAAATGGATTGGTATGGGGACCTGTGCTTTTTATTTGTTAACAAACAAGCAGTGAGGTGGCCAGGTCTGCTGTTGATACTAAGATGTTCAGGGTTGTTGAAAGGTATTTTGAAGACCTCCAAACTGACCTCTCCAAAGCAAGTCAATTGGTGGCAAAAGGAGAAAGGCACATTCACCTTTCAATGCAAACTGAATTAAATTTGTCCCCATTGCTTGTTGAAACCTTTTTTTAATTTGATGGGCTTTTTTAAAAAATGGGGTTGTTGTTGTTGCTGTTGTTACTTTGACTGATATCCTGCCCTTTGTGGTAGCAGGCAGAGCAACGATATCATCATCATCATCATCAAATTCTTAAAACAAACAAAAACAGTTAGAAACATGATTTCTACAAGTGATCTCAAGGTTCCCAGGAACAGTGTCTTTCAGCTATTGGATACTTGGGGTCAACAAAAATGTTTTGGAATTTATACTGAAAGTCAACAGGGAGGAAGAATGGTGCATCTCAAAAACGAGGATCTTCCACTGAAGAGGTACCATGACAGTTCAACGCCAGGTGGGCAACCACCAACAAGGCCTCACCTGTCCATTGTATGTATTGAGAAATGTACTCTTTTAGGTTCCTGGGTCCCTCCCATTTAGGGCTTGATGTGCTGGTACTAACACCAAGAATTGTTGGCAGTGTTGGGTGTTTGCTGAAGCCTCTACCCCAGTAAGGGCCCATCTCCAGGGGCGTAGGAAGAAGAGAAGAAGAGTTTGGATTTGATATCCCGCTTTATCACTACCTGAAGAAGTCTCAAAGCGGCTCACATTCTCCTTTCCCTTCCTCCCCCACAACAAACACTCTGTGAGGTGAGTGAGGCTGAGAGACTTCAAAGAAGTGTGACTAGCCCAAGGTCACCCAGCAGCTGCATGTGGAGGAGCAGGGAAGTGAACCCGGTTCCCCAGATTACGAGTCTACCGCTCTTAACCACTACACCACACTGGAAGGGGCGTGCAGGGGATGCGGTCTGCCCTGGGTATCATCCTTGAGGGGGGTGACAAAATGCCACAGCGCTGGGGTTGGCACTTACCGCAGGGTCTGGCCTGCAGTGCGCCCAAGCCATGCATCTCTCCTGGGAGTGACAGGGTGGCTCAGGGCCCCACACTGCCCAAAATGGCAGCATGGGGCTTGTGTCCACCAGGTGGACGCCATGCACGGATCGCTGTGGTGCCCCCATAGGCAGCCCGCCCTGCCCTGTGGGGTGCCTCCCCACCCCTGCCACTCTGGATGCTGGAGCAGCTAGCTATGCCTCTGCCTGTCACCAACCCCGACGGCAGTCTGGCAGTGGTATGTCTCGAACTCAGACCTCTAGGCCTCAGATACAACCTTCCCTGTGCCCCAAACACACAGGGCAAAAATGGAAGCATTGTTATCCCTGCCAGGCTTTTTCTTAAAGCAACGAGAGAGACACTTTCAAGGACTTCAGTAAAAATCGCATCCCCTTATTCAGAGACTGGCACTGCAGTCCTTGGCTACAAACTGTTAACATTCCCCCAATAAAAGCTGGAGAGAGGAAGAAGGGGAGAGGGAGACGAAGCTGCCACAAAGCCAGCAAATTCCAGCTCCACCCGTCTCCCACCTTTACTCAAGCCAGAGATTCAGCTGAGCTATTCAAAAGCTAAAATTATTGACCCATCCTCCTGCCTTTTTTAGACAGCTGCAAAGTTCAACCGAGGACATCTGGGATGCAACGCAGATACGTATTTTGGTGGACACCATTTCACTGTGCAAAACGACAAAGAATGGAGCCAATTATAGCTAGAAGGTGATTCTCTCTTTCCCCCCCTCTTCTTTTTCTAAATCTAGGAATTCATGCTTTTGATGATCCTTAAAAAAAAAAGAGTCTTTCACCTTGCCCTGCCCTCCTCCCCCCCCCCTCTGCGTTTCTCAAGATCAGGCGAGAAAAAGAAGACACTCCATTTGCAGCTGTTAAAACTGATGCTGGTTCCAAGGTTACTTTAAACTAGTTGGAATTTGATTACTTCCAGAATTTAAGGAAGGATTGGAAACTGTTTCATGGGGAATCTGCCCTTTGGTTCATCTAGCTCAGCATTATCCAGCACTGGCTGGCAGCAGCTGCCCAGGGACCGAACCTGGGATGTTGAGCTTGCACAGAAGATGCTGTACCTCTAAGCTGTAGCTCATGTCTCTCAAGGACATGAATTCAAAACGTGGGTCCAACCAGGGATTCTGCTGTTTTGTTTCATTCTCGTTTCTGGGCCAGTGATGGGAGTTGGCTGTGTCAGACACTTGCTGGGGCCCACAGCCTTCTGATATGCCTTTTCCTTGCTGCCACTGCCTGATGTCCTGTGTGAATGAGCAGAGGCACGTTCCAGAAGAAAGACCAGAGCTCTCTCCTTCTGGGGTGGTGGTGTCGATTTGGCCCAGAGAGGCAGGAGTGTCACCCTTATGGGCCCCTCACCCATGAGCACCTCCTAAACCTTTGTTGGTGTAATCTGAACAACGGGTTAAATTACACAAGGCTCGGGCTCATGCCTTGAGGAATGCATCCCTCACATCTGGATGTTCTGGGATAAGAGTGCCAGGTACACTGGGTTACCATGGCAACACCAGCAAGGTCGATTGTATGACCTGCATAGTCTTTTGCCCTCCCATTGGTTCAGGAATATGGAGATGGGTATGATAGTCTCTAGGGCATTGCTTTCATTAAGTCCCATTGCAAATCCTGATGCTGCATGTTTTCTGTCAATGTCTGATTCTGAATCTGTGAGAGTCAGGAGAAGAGGCTGTGGGTTTTACACAACAGTGTTAGCTAGCATGGTGATGGTGTTAACAGATCTGTACACTACATTTTCTTCAAAGACCAGAAGAAGTGTAGATAGTAGATATTAGCTTTGTATTGTGCCTGGAGAACATAAACACTTTGTTACCTTGAATTATGTGGGAGAGGAGTCTGTTCCTTTAACTGGTGACTCTGGAAGAAGCTGTCTGCTGGGGGCAGGAGATCTCTGAAGACCCTGCTGGGGCTCCACATACTCTCCTGAGACATCACACAGGTTGAGGTGTGGTGGGCTACCAAAAGACTTCCACCATTCACCAACAACCTTAAGCTGGGGGTTGCTAACATGGTGTTCTCAAGATGTTGTTGGACTACAAATCCCATCTTCCTGACCACAGTCCATGTTGGCTGAGTCAGACGGGGTTTGGAGATCAACAATAACCACAACTTGAGAGCACCATGTTGGTTATCCTTACCTTAAGCCAACATGGCTTTCATTTTGCCTAGATCCCATAATTCCTCAGCATTGTCCATGCTGGCTTGGTCTGGTGAGAACTGGAGTCCAACAACATCTGAAAGGCATTGTGTTAGTCACCCTTTGCCTGTCCAGGATATGGACAGACAAATCAACACAGCTTTGGGAGGGAAAAGAGTGAAATTCAAACTTAAAAAGAAGAAGATTGCTTTGACAAAGCTCTAGTTTTAAGCTCCAGCGCCTTACTAAGAACCTTTCTCTCTGGACATGAAAAACAGCCCACCCTCACAATAACTCCCTGATTTACTAGCACCAGTTTAATAAATAAACAAATACAAATACTCCTTTCAACACTTTAATTTCACAATATAAACTTCAACCTAATGTGGGCTGTGCAATTTTCCCCGAGTCTCCAGAGGAAGACTGGGTAACCTAAGGGCAGAAAAATGTGCTGCTCCTATAGATCATTTAAGCAAAAGGGAAGGAAATGAAACATATCCTAGCTTGCAGTGGGTAGCCGCAAACCAATGGATTAATTCTACATTCAGAGGAGAAAGGGGGTGAGTATTTTGAAGTACCTCTGCTTTAAAGGCTGTAGGAATAGAAGAAGAGCTCTGCTAGTTCAGGCTGAAGTCCCACCTAGTCCAGCATCCTGCTCTCACAGTGGACAACCCGTGAGAAGCCCACAAGGAGGACCTGAGGGTCATAGTTCTCTCGTCCCTTGTGATTCCCACCCTCATCCTCTTTTAAAGTCATGCAACCAGGTGGCCTTTGCTCCATCTTGGAGGATGGATGCAGCCTGGGAGCATTTTGCGCACAATCTATTAGGCAGCATAGCTACACCCTTGGGTGGCTGCATTAAAAGAGTTTGCCTGTTCAGTTCAGAGGGAATGACAGGCTTCTTGAGTTGGCTTCCATCACACTAAAGGACAGAACCATATCAGCACTTAACCATATCTGATTGGCTAGGTGTGGCATTGTGAGGCATAGTCTCCAACTGTCCTGAAAATGCTGGGACCATCAGGAGAACCATTAAGCCATCAGGGCTGTGGGGGGC